CCCTGCAATGTACAGCAGCGAGATTCGTCTCCCCAGCAGGGTCTCCCAAGCTGAGAAGAAGTCCGGCGTTCTTATGAGGAAGCCTAGCTAGTAGTAAACCAATACCAGGATCCACCACCGTCCTGGTATCAAAGTCGCATGGTGGAAACCGTCCTCTGATCCACAATGGCTGCGACTGTCTATAGTGGTGAAGACCTGGGGTAGACTTTGACCAGACTGACTTCTAGATTCTAGAGAGCCACAATGGCTTAACCAGCAAATCTCCGATGAATGGTGATTAAGCTGGGGCCGGCACAACCATTGAGGACTGGCCGTTCAAGTGTCAAGTGTCAAGTGTCTTGCCACTAGCTACTCCTAGCTGTGATTTCCGTTGAAAAGTTTGAAGTCATTTTTGGTCTTGCTAAAGACACCAAGAAGCAGAAAGTGTAAGGACACACTCTGATTAACAACAACTACAATGAATGGGTGACTGCCCCCGATTATTCACACAAGAAGCTCCTTCTTACCAAATGCGCACATTAACTGCCAATGTTTCGTCCAATAAAAAATCTACTCTAAAGTGCGCGTTGTTTCACAAAGTAAGTAAAGTTAGTGCATCTTGCGGAACTGGAAGAATTTGTGGAATATTCTAATTGCTTTAAAAAGACCATGCATAGTTTTTAACAGCATTTTTCTTTGAGAGAACGTTCCATTCAAATTGGTAATTTCTTCTTTTTGTCCATAAGTGAGCGTGTAGAGGATTTTGAGCTAAGTCAGTAGGCCCGTTTTAGGCCAGAAAAACCATGGTTTTTAGATCTTTTGTCGTAATATATCTTCTTGGGTAAAGACCTGAGATTACTGAAATCCCATTTGTTTTCGGAGAAAAAAATACTCAAGAAAATTGTGCTGCATTTAATAACTCGAAAGACCGACTTTCTATGAACCTCGGCATAGATAGTTGATATATTTATTTATGTGATCTTATAAACTGATCTTCTTAAGCTGACGCGATGTTGGTACAAATCTTCGTTGCCGTTGTCGTTGTCGTTGTTTTTGATGTTATTGAACGATGGCTGACGTTTCGGCGACTTCGCCTTCCTCAGAGCCTGGACGTATTTTATGTTAGAATACTTTTTATTATTCGGTGGAAAAGAAGGTTAAAGTATTAATGAAGATCAAACTTTCAAATTTTTTTGTCGCCGAAACGTCAGCCATCGTTCAATAACATCAAAAACAACGACAACGACAACGACAATGAAGATCTGTACCAACCTCGCGTCAGTTTAAGAAGATCAGTTTATAAGATCACATAAATAAATATGTGCTGCATTTGTTTCTCTAATACCTTTCAAACCCAGTCCACCTGCGCAACGCTTAGCATTTTGCAGATTTCACCAGCCGAACCAAAAATTGGTGAAAAGCTAAAAACGTTTTTTCAACGAGGTGAACAACCATTGATTTTTTACGAGGTTTGTTTTAGGCTTCTGATGTTCAGGAAGACTTTTCCTTTTGCAGTAACTCCCACTTCCGACTTTCTATTAACCTCGGCATTGATTGAACAATTCTTTTCATTTCGGTCTTCGGTCTTCGGTTTCACATTACGCTTCCATGTGAATTTTGTGCGGTTGGTCTTCACACGACATACTCAGTGGAAGACTCATAGAAAGCGGTGAGTGTGCAGAGCTGTGTTCNGTGAGTGTGCAGAGCTGTGTTCAATGTGATTGAAATCTTGGTTTAGCGTTTCCTCTGTTTGGTTATGGAGATGTTTGGCCGAATAAGTTACTGTCAACTTGACCTTTCCAGGTTCTGAGGAAGGCGAAATCCGCCGAAACGTCAGCTTGTTCGTGAATAAAGAAATAAAGTAGCACCTCGTGTTTGCTGAACAGAAGTGAAAAAAATTTTTCCTTTTGCGTTTATTCCACCAGCAGCGAAGGTTGAATCACCTGTTGACAAAGTGTATGAGAAGTGGCGCAACACGACCGTATCCCTAAATGAATGTTATTAAGGCAGCACCATGAAAAACCCGCATTTTCTCTCGTCTCATTTACTGGTCACTGCTAAATCTACAACCAATCATTTGTTACTCTTATAAGAGGGATAAGATAGGAAATCTTCTATAAGATTCTAACCAGTCTAAGGTGATAGAGAGATCCATGCCCAGGTATCATCTCGCTTCACGGAAACTAAAGTGGAAAGAGAAACTTGATACCGGGCTTGTCCGGAAAAAGTCACGCTTTGCAATGCAATTGGGAACGCTCCAGCCTGGTTATCTTAGGACCCCACTAGAACTAGAACAGCATTCTGTGACATTCAAGACGAAACGAAAATTCTGAAGAAGGATTGAAAATCCGAAGCCACACGTAACAGTGGAAGATCTCCATGGATAACGGATGCGAGGGAACGAACAGAAGTGCTGGGATCTCCGCTGTAGACGCAAAGACGGGCCATATAAAAATAAAAGAAAAATTGGAAAGATAAAGCGACCTCCAGACTTGATCAACCGCTTAGCGACTTATGCATACAACTTTAATCATAGCATCGTAGTGGTGACTGGAATCATATTGGATCTATACAACGACGACTTTTGATGGTTAACTAAGTGTAACGTCAGTGCTTTTACTTTCCCGGACAAATTTGGGGCGAGTTCATCCACAAAGGGGGAATGGGGACTTAGTTTGTTCCTGAAGCGGGGTCGAATTAAAGACCATGTCTGTGTTGCAAGCGTATCTCCAACCACTGACATGAGCCTGCGCCTACAAACTAAAAAAAATTCCAGAATCCACAGAGCAAAACTTCACAATGAATCTATTAACGATTTTCATGTAAAACAATGGCACCCGATAATTGTATTGTTAATTTTTAAATGCATTTTTATCTGTATACTGCTTAAGCTTTCCATCAAGTAATTCCCATGAAGTAGTTTTCTGAGCTGTTCGAATCTTGCATGTATTTACAGACTTTAGATGTTGATCGTTCTAGAAGCATTTATGTTTTTGTCGGACGGATTCACACACAATTACCGCAAATAATTCATGAATTTCTCTTATGGTCAAATAGATAACGGAACTTCGTTGTTGAGTGAAAAATCTCGGCTAAGCATCCCATATGTTTGTTTAGAAAAAGTCAAAAGCTCGTGTCTTTGATGTATATCCTCTGAAGCCTCTCCACTTTGCCTGCGTACATAATACTCTATTGCTCCCTATCATTCTTTTTTTTACCTTTACCACTTAATATATCTATGTCTACATTTCCTGTTGGCACCGATAGTCCAATACGTTATGTGTGCTATGCAATCCACACACCCTACTTTGTTCCACCTCTCGCTGGAGTAAAAAAATTTGTTGGCATTGTCGGCAAATTGCTACCGCTCTTCTCTGAAAGGATAAACACGAAATAATACGTCGATAGCAACCAATGAAGTTAATGTATACGCAAAATAAGCATTCATTCACTTCCACAATTCCATGAATGGAGTTCCACTGATGGCACACCCTCAGAGGTCAATGCCGAACGCTTACTTCTCATGGATTTTCCTTGTTTGAAAGAATAGTTGTAAGAATACGTAGCTGGTCATCCACTGAAGCATTCCGATGCACAATAAATCCATAACTTGTAGAAAAGTTGTCTACGAGTCACATTCTATTCCTTCCAAGCACAGTTCTACCGCGTTTTTTTGAAATAAATGAAATTCGAGAAAAGAAACACCAATGATCACTTCTAATCCCCCATAGACTGGGAAACTCCGTTCATCCTTCATCGTCTGCCAAAGCTGCTCATTTGGTGTCGTACTTGGTCGCTATAATAAACTAGACTTCCGGTTCTACATTTTTTAGAAGTAAAAGGATAAAGCTCTCGGCGTTGATCAAACCCTGAGGGGCGCGCCATGCATTCATTCGACTTCATTAAGCATCGTTTGGAGTTGATTGAATGCATATCTGGCCTTTACGATGACTCGCTGTGGCTACCGATGTATCGAGCCAGTGCTGATATCCTTCCAGACAAGTCTGGTGCCAGTTTGCCCACCCCGGAGAGATTAAAGGCTTGGTGGGCCATTGGGCGAGGGGATCGATTCCACGTGTGTTGCAGAACACCCAGAAGCATATGCACCCTATTTAGGATTCCAGTTCTCCGGATCCCGTCACATAAGGAGTTCCCGTTTTTGTAACTGAATGCAGCAAGTAGAAAAGCGTAGAGAAAATTTTTGCAAGGTAGTTTGAAAATAAACTTTTTTGTTATTAATTGAAGTGAAGGAATTTTCAACGAAAAATCTACGGTCTGGCGCTGTATTTACGAGGCGTGTTCAAGCATGTGCGCGTGGTTGTGATCTCGTTTATGCGGATTGTATTCTAAGAGTGAATTCGACCAAAGGCTTGCAATCCAGTGAAAAGGATGCATATGGGAGGCAGTTAGGAGTAGCCTCCAACAAATAAACTCCATGTATACTCTGGGAGAGAGTAACAAGCTACCCGTGACTATACCAGGCTTCCCCTCCCCCTCACGTTCACATTTCAGCAAGCAACACGTGTGGATCAAAAGTTAAACACAGTAGAAGAAATCGGCCTGATTCCCTCGGCCTTGAAAAAACCACCGATTCGACAGCGTTGGGTAGAACGAGTACTGAGAAGCTGCTAAAATCTCAGGACCAATGCAAGCAGTCCAAATCTTAAAGAAATAAGGCGATGATCTGTACCTAAAATGTACACATGCTTGCATCTGAGTTCTCAATAGAAGATATTATGATGGAAGCAGGAAGGATGAGTTACGACGTCATCGGCCTGGCCGAGACAAGGCAACGCCACCCATTCACGCCGTCTATGACACCGGAGAAGAACTGTTCCTCGGAACACGCGATAGTGGTAGATTCGGCGGAGTCGGCGGCCTCATCAACACGAACCGGACGTTTACGATTAAAAAGATGTGAATCACTACAGGCTTTGACAATCTTCGTTATTTACGAGCCGATATCAACCTATGGCCAAGAAAAGTCGAAGCTATATAGGCTTAAAGAAATTCTACCTGTATCACCCGTAGTCCCGTTGATCGTCGAGTGACTCGAGCAGGCGCCAGTAAATCTTCCATTTTTCCCTGTCGCGTGCAAGAGTAGCCCAGTGGGTTCTGCCTGCTCTAGGGACTCGTCGAGCATCATATCTTTCTTCAAGGCTCTTTGTGAAGAACTCTGACCATCGAGGCGGTAGTCTCCCTGCAGTACGTTTGATATCCCGAGGAATCCAGTCACTAACTGTTGTTGTCCATCGGTTGTCATTCATACGCATTACGTGTCCGGCCCACTTCATCTTCGACTGTTTGGCGTACAAAACGGCACCTTTAACTTTGATCGTTGACACAGGTCGAGGCTTCGGATCCCTTCCCTTACTTGCGTGATACGAGATACTCATAGCATCGTCCTCTCGACTGCGCGTTCAATAACGCTGAGCGATTTTTATCCTCTTCGCAGCGACCACGTTTTTGACGCATACGTTAACGCAGAAAGTATCATTGAGTCGAAAAGGAGGGCACAGAGTCTTATATATTCTTTAAAGCAAGCGTTGGTGGTGGAATTACCTGTGAAGGATTCTCTGCAGTCCATAAAAGATTACCAAAACCTTTGATGAAGACCGAATAACGCTCTCAAACGCACATTCCAGAATTTTAAGAAGAATCGACTCAGCGATATTCAGAAGGTCGAAATTCCTCGAACAGAAACAGAGTCGGGTGTTCTCTGTTTTCCTCACTACTACCTCGATGCTCTTGAAAGCTCCCCAAGCCGCTCGTTTCCATCTGCTCAACACTGGAGCTAAGTCGCTCAACACGTTGATTTCCCGACCTAGATGAGACTGGAGCAAACATTAGTTCCTTTGAGGGTGAATGAGGTATACTTAACCAATCCGTTCTCCATGAATATCGTTTTTGTGAGATTTAGTCAAGGCCAATCTTTCCACAAGCTTTATCAAAGTCGGCAAGCATACGTTCTGCGTGGCTATTGGTGTTATAAGGACGATGTCATCAGCAAAACTGCCGATGGTGTCACTGCCGACCGTCGATTTTCACTCCCATATTATCCCATTCCAATGTTCGCATAACGTTCTGGTGGGTGGCGGTAAATAATTTTGGCGAGATGGTATCGCCTTGCTTAACTACTCTTTTGATGTCGATGTAAAAATCGTTGTAGACTCTTGATGCATTGATGATTGTGAAATTTTTATACATCTCACGAAGAATCTTTATATACTTAGTAGGGACACTCTGCCTGTCCAGGGATTCCATGACTCCTTCTATCTCAACTGAATCAAACGCCTTCTGAAAACCGATGAAAGCGAGACAGAGCGGTCTTTTGCACTCTCGCGATACTTCAATGAGCCGTGTTACCGTGTGGGTGTGGTCCATCGTACTAAATCCTCTCCGAAACCCCGCTTGTTCACATGGCGGCGGTCCGTCCTTCGTCCAGTGTTCTGTCAATCCTGTTTAGGACGACTCGACTGAATAGTTTGTAGACGACAGACAGCAAGCAGATTGTGCGATAGTTGCCTTCATAGGTCACCCTTTTTGAACAATAACACGGTCTTGCTCGTCTTCCACTGAGTGGGAACCTTGCATTCAGACAAGCAACGTGTGAAAAGCCTAACCAGTGTGTTTACAAAGACTGGCGGAAGGTTCTTAAGGTGTTCCGGTCTTATTCTGTCCGGAACTGGTGCTGTTCGATTTTTCACCGACGAAATGGCATGTCAGATTTCGGAAGAGGGGATCGGGGGTACAACATATCCATCCTCCTTTATTTCATATGACGGAAGGTGTACGTGGCTATCGAAGACATCCGAGTAGTATTCGTGAGTGATTTTCACCATTGCCCTTCTGGACGCTGTAACTTTTCTGTCTGCACACCGGAGTGTAATAATTTTGGTCTTGTAATTGGAGAAGCTTCGGTGGACTTTGCAAATGCTTTTTCCAGCCTCTGCAGCCTCAATCGTTATTGCTGCTTTTCTCTGTTTAAAATCTTCTTTTATCGCTTGTCTGCATTGTTTTGCAAGTTCGGACGTTAGTCCGCGGTTGCCTGCAGCTCGTGCGATTCCACGCTGGTGTATCAGCTCGAGTGTTTCTGGAGACATACGTCTCTTGGTGACTTTCGAACTCTGAGCTTTCATAGCGCTAACGAGAAGATGTTGAATGATCGTATTCTTCGTCGATGTTATCGACAACGGCGTCTTCCCAACAGCCGACTAATGAATTGAATAAGTGCCAGTTTGTAGTGGTTCTGGAACTTCGGTTTTTGAATTTAGCGGCTTTTTCTTCTTTCCGCGAGAAATAGAATCTTGCACGAAGGAGACAATGGTCAGATCCCGTGTAGAATTTTAGGACAACAACGACATCGGTTAGGCAAAATCTTCTATTTACCTATTTATTTAAGGTCATCATTGAAGATTTTATCCCTAATACTGGGTCAGAAACGTCTGAGGAACGTCACGTTACGACGCACGAATTAGAATGGAATAAGCAGGGTGAGCACCTGTCTGAGTTNTCTCAGCGCTGGACGTGGGAGTCTTCCAATGGAGACCACCATAACCAAATCAGCCACATCATAGTAAATCAAACGTTTTGCCCTACCGATGCCGCCGTTTCCCAAAATTCTACACGGAATCAGAACATTGTCTCTTTCGTGCAAGATTCTATTTCTCGCGAAAAGGAGAAAGAGCCGCTAAATTCAAAAACCGAAGTCTCAAAACCACCATAATCTAGGAACTATCGAATTCAATGTTTTTCTTCAATAAGCAGACACGAGGTTGTTAATATAGAATTTATTAGAATACAATAGCTGATGTTTTGGCGGTTTCGCCACTTATCGAATTCATTAGTCAGCCATTTGAAGGGTGCCGCTCACGAAAACATCGACGAGAGATACGATCGGCTCATTAAACATTTTTACGTCAGCTCTATTAAAGCTGAGAGTTCGAAGGTCACCAAGAGACGTTTGTTTCCAGAAATATTCGAGCTGATACGCCAGCGTGGAATCGCACGAACTGCAGGCAACCGCGAACTAACGTCCGAACTTGCAAAACAATGCAGACAGGCGATAGAAGAAGATCTTACACAGAGAAGAGCAGCTGCAATGGTCGAAGCTGCAGATGGTGGAAAACCTTTCGCAAAGCCCACCGAATTCCCCAACTACAACATCAAGGCGGTTGCACTCCGTTGTCCATACGGAACTGCTATAGCGTCCAGAAAACCAATGAAGGAAATCGCTCAAGACTACTACTCAAGCTACATCCTTCTTCTCTCATGTGAAATAACGGAGTGTGAACATGTCCTATCACCGATTCTTCCTTACGAAATTCGACATGCTATGTTTTCTGTGCAGAAGTGTAAAAAACCTGGTGCGGAGAAGATAAGATGTGATCGCCTGAAGAAAATTCCTCCAGTCCTCGCAAACGCACTGGCTTGGTTCTTCAATCGTTGTACGTCTAAATACAAGCTCCCTGCTCAATGAAAGACCAGCAAGACCGTGTTATTGTTCATGAAGGGTGACCTGCACGATATCGGCAACTAACGCTCAATCTTCTTACTGTCTGTCGTCTACAAACTTTTCACTCGAGTCATACTAAACAGGATTGACAGAACAGTGAATGAAGGACAGTCATGTGATCAAGTAGGGCTTCTAAAAGGATTTAGCACAATGGGACCACATCCACACGATAACAAGGCTCATTGAAGTGTTGCAAGAGTGCAAAAACCGTTCTGTCTCATTTTCATCGATTTAAAGAAGGCCGCTGAGTCAACTGAGGTAGAAGCAGTCATGGAATCCCTGGACAGGCAGAGTTTCCCTACTCAGTATATAAAGATTCTTCGCGAGATGTATAGAAATTTCACAATCAATGAATGCATCAAGATTCTATAACGATTTTAACATCGACATCAAGTTTACTCACCCCGTAGTAACCAAGCTCCCACCTCCATGGTCGATAAATTGGTGGCAGGTTCTTCTGGGAGTACGAAACTCTAAGCTGGTGAATCGGTTGTCCACCACAAGTTATTGTATTGCCGAAGTATGCATTTAATCACTTCTATGGTTCCAAGAATGCATAACATATCCCGAAGCACTTGATCAAAGCCCGTTATTCTAGGGTATTTTTATAACGGGGAACAAAGCGCATGACTGTTCTCTTTCTAGAGTTTTTTTTATCACCCACACAAAGGTCACTTGAACTAGAGTAAGTTACAGCTTCCTCCATTTTATTCTCTTTTTTAATCTACCCTTCCTTACTGTTTTTCTTCGGTGAGCAAAGACGACGTTGGTATTACAAAATTTACCAGCCTACAATATCTGAGGTTTCGACGGTTTCGCCTTCTTCAGAGCACGGAAAGTCAAATTGACTATCCGTCCTCAATTCGTTTTGCATTTCTGCGGTTACATCAGATAATTCGCTAGCAGATTTATCAAATTTATCTCTCGATCTGTTTAGTGACATCATTCCACTCTTCTACGCCGACTAACCATTTGCTTCCAAGCACTGGCGAGTAGGTACAAGATGTTCCCGGGTTGTCGGTTTTCCTGGAATCTAACTGCTTCCAGAACACTACCTATTTATTTATCGAGTTTTATTTTTTAAACATTGGTTTTTTATCTCGATTTTTCTCTAATCGATTCGAAATAATATAGCCTCCTCTCTGATCTATTTTTGTGACGATTCACTTCAACAATATCGTTCCTGTTTCTTTCTAAGAATCACTTTACTAATTATTATTTAGCAGAGGTAAATAGCAATTTGTTAGTAAAGTGGCGGAACACTACATTAATTTCCTAAATAGGATGTGGTTTTAGAGTGAGTTCTCCGTTTTTTTTCGATGGCAACGTACGAACAATTACCAGCCCAAAATAGGAACAAATTACTTCTTTAATTAAATCATTTGAATAAATTATACAGAATATAACCCATACCAGCCTCGTGCCAGCTTAGCCATGAGAAAAAATGTCATAGAATAGTTCGGAAATTAATATTTTCTCAGGTGACTAGGCTAACACGAGGTTACAATTAAACCTTGCTCGATTAACATCTTCATGCTCTTCAGAATCGAAGAGTTAATCTGTGTCGATTCTCCACAGCTATCCATTTGTCCGATGTGGCTCTTCATGATCGCACTGAGTCGAATCTAGAAGAGTGCGGTGGAAATGACGTCGTTCACCATAAGCATACTATTAGTTTGACCTTACTTCAGATTTAGAGCGGTCGTCATCCTTCCAGTGTCACGAAATTGGTACCTGAATTTTCTGGGATATACTCACTTCTTCACTTCCACGCAGGAACGTCCTAGCACAGCTAACCCAGGACTCGATAGAGAATCGACTTGACCAGCATTCAACTACATTCTTAAAGAAAAGACAACAATCTTCATCAGCGGCCGAACC